TTAATGCCTAGTCCTATGTTGATATTGATGATGATGTATCGGTAGAGGAAATTCAAAAATCATAAAAACCAAGCTCCATGAAGAATCTTCAACCTTTGATGCACATTATCTTAAGGTGCTCCCGCCCCCCCCCTCCCCAGCGGTGATTGCTGGGCATATACAACACATGTTCAAGCCATTTCAACCGATAAAGATTCACAGCTGAATCAATTCACTTGTTTGCCTTGCCTAGTATCCTTCATCTGACTATCAAACGGAATCATTACTACAGAGATATTTATGATGAAAAATCTATAATTGCGTCATATTATCTACTTTCAGCCGCCATGTCTTACAGCCATATAACAAGACAGAACGAAATGTAGCGCAATGAACTACTTCCTTTACTAGATAGTCAGACATTACTCACGACTTAGTTGACTACACATGTTATTAGGGTTCCAAATAACTTCAGTAAATTCGTCAAGTCCATCCATCCAACTAAATCAATATAGGACCAGGCATCACTGCGTAACAGTCCGAGTTGCCATGGCTCATATTAGTGGACCAAGTAGAAAGGTAATGAGGTGAAACATGAAGATAAAAAAATTCAGTCAAAACGAAGAATGAGAAAATGGTGAGATTCGGTATAGCCTCGTTAAGATGAGGATAATGTGTGTGGGGATACATCTGTGACATTGACATCACTTCGCAGTCATATCAACTAGTCTCCTGTCCTGCGGACCCCAATCACCCAGTCTCCATTGCCTCACATGGCTCAGACTAACAAACAAACGCTTCATACATTGATGCCATGCTTTAGTCTGCCCACACACCCCCCTCCGTCACCTTTCTTCAACCTGAACCTACTTCGGTCAACATTAAGTGAGTGACCAGTCAGTCAGACGGCAACTAGGCATACGTTACACATGTCCCAGCCAGCCAGCCAGCCAGCCAGTTCTCTCAACCGATGAAGCTTCACAACCACGTCGACTGACTTACGTCTTCTCCATCCTGCTCTAAAACTCTACGCCCGTTGACGTCCACGTCCACGTTACTCACCTGGTGATAGCACAGAATACGGCATATACTACGAAGGCGACAGTGGTCAAATAGCTGAAGCCTTCTCATGTCTTCCACCTTCAATGGCCATGTTTCACAGCCATACAATAGAACAGTAGAACATGTGTCCCTTAATAGACAATTGAATATGGTGGCGGAGCCATAGGTGGTGTAACTTGGCAAAAGCCAACCAAGCGTTTTGTATTCGTGCAGAGATTTCATCGGACATTGAGCCAAGGGGCACGGCTGATCCCACTTCACTTCCCAGGTAAGTGACGTGGTCAACACACTCAACCACCACGCTCACTCTCTATTGTTAGCTGAGGCACCATTGAAGACCAATCCTGCAGCAACCATTTGCATTTCGGTGGTGAGAACCGCATTCCGAACATTCTCAAATTCCCATTCAAAGTGTCCAGAAGACTCTACGTCTTGTCAGCGTCTTCACGTAAGCAGACTATGTCATCTGCATATTCTAGGTCTAACGAAAATTCTCCACCGATTAGGTCAACCTCTGTGTAGTCAGGTGATGAGAGGGAGACCTCCATTGAATAAGAGTGGAGAGTGCACACTTGATGGATACCACTCAATGAGCATAACTCCCTGGACATCTCACCACCCACACGAGTTCGAGTAGAGAGCCTTCAATAAGGTGATATAGTTACTCTGCACGCCTTTCAGTGAGAGGCATTTCCATAAGACTTCTCGATCAAAGGAGTGGAATGCTGCCGCCTTCAGGTTGAGAAATACAGCTATTTTCAGGCATCGGTAAGCGTGTCTGTGTTCCAGAACCTGGTGTAGTGTGAATATTTGGTCCATACACTCATGGCCGGGTCTAAAGCCTGTCTATTTTCAGTTACCAATATGCATCGGGCAGTAATACTTCAACTGAAGTTTTTGCGGATTTCATTGATTTGAAAGCAGTATTCATCAGTTGGAAGGCCATCGAAAACCCGCTGGCTGTTTTCTTCACATTTGGTAGTTCGCAACAAAGTGTACCTACGTGCTGATAACAGACTACTGTTCATCACCCGTTCAATTATTTGCTTCGAAATGGATTTCGTCAAGTGCTTATGAGAAGTCGTCATGTATTGAGTCAATCAAATCGCATCAGAACGCAATCAATCAGTTCACTTTCTCTTTTTCGACGGGATATCAATGCAAATCAATTTGTATTTAGCAGGTGGTGAGAAACACTCTCCACTCTTCACGCGCATACAGACTAACTTCTGCGGAAGTTCGGTTGTCATTCACGTCACCAACAAACAAACAAACAAACAAACACAAATACAACTTCAAAACTAAATTCCATGATAATTAAAAAAATATTACATGAAAGGAAACGTACACCATCACATACTTCTAACACACAGAGAGAGAAAACGATTTCATCAGAGTAAGTGGTATCGACAAGCATTTTCGTTGTCATGTTGATGCCAATTACAGAACGAAGAATAATTTACTTTTATACGACATAATACAAATTCTCAAGATTCTCTTTTTCATTAGCAGTAACGCAGATGTTATTCACTCATTCCTTTAAGTTGTCTAAAGTTTGAATAGTTATACTATGCTTCATTTACGGATTGTTTATTTTCTCACCGCTTTCTATCCACCTATTTCTCTGCGAACTACTATGACGTGTGTGGCGAGTTGAAGGAATCCATCCGTGTATGAAGTTGTACATCGACTTTATATGTCTCTTTTCGTCTAGACTCGAAGATCATGGGGTATAGAAGAGAGTGTTATCAATATTATTATTATTTGTCCTGTGGGTTCCTAGTGGAACATAGGGCTTCACTAGCACGTCTCCATTCCACTCTCTTCTCTGCAAACTTTTCAGTCTGGCTCCACTACAGCCCACAAGCTCTCATTTCTTCCTCACACCATCTCCTCCATGTCACCCTCAGCTGGGACGCCCAACTCGTCGTTTCTCATCTGGATTCCACTCGACAACCTGGCCTGGCGCATGATGTCCCCATTCGGCCTTCTCAGTGTATGCCCAATCCAATCCATCTCCACTTCCTTCTGCATATTTGTTGAGCAATAGGTTGTTGGTTGGTTCGTTGCCAGCCAGGCAGCCACAGTTCCTTGTTGCTTATTCTTATTATTCTGGCCATCTGAGCTTCAGTAACGAGCCAGCGTAGGCGGCAGTTGTTGATGAATGTGTGTAGTTTGTTGGAAATGTCTTTCGTTACACGCCAACTTTCTGAACCATATAGCAGCACCGACTTGACAGTGGTGTTGAAAATCCCTATCTTGTTCTTTACTCTGAGTGCGGAACATCTCCACACTGGTTTCACGTTAATGAACGCCTATCTCGCTTTTCCAATCCTGGCTAACTTTGACGTCCTTGTCTGTGCCTGTGCCGCCTGTAGTTGAAACAGTCCTGCCTAGATAGGTAAGTGGAAGAGGCTACTTCCTTTAAGTTTCTCCCGTTGATGGTCATTAGAGCTTGTTGTTGTTTGTGGTGGCGTCAGTTGGGTATCTTCATCACCTCTGTCTCCTCTACACTCACTTGAAGTCCTGTCTTCGCTGCCTCACCTCTTCTGTCAACTTGTTGATTTCGCCTGTAGATCTTCGAGTTTGTGTGACATTAAACACAAGTCATCGGCGAAATCCAAATCTTCTAGGATCTTTTCCCCTGTCCAGCCAGCGTATCCCCCTCTTCTCGCTCCTTCCGGTTTGATGCATGATCCATTCCACCACAATCAGGAATATCACGGGTGATGGTAGGCATCAGCCTTGTCTTACTCCTGTCTTCACTTCACTTCACTTCAAAAGCATCACTGAGCTTCCTAATGCTTAACTAGTGGTTGGATTCTCTACAATTGTGGCAACTTTAACTGCTGGAAGATTGTGTTCGCTACCTCCTGTAACGGAGGATAATCTAATGGGCGTGTTGTCCATGATTAAAAGTGCTTTCGATCATGTCGCAGAAGACTCCTTAGTTAGGTCTATGGTACACAGATGATATAATCCTGTTGGACGCTGATAAAATGCAGGGTCTTCTGAACGCACTCTATGAGCAGAAATTGGAATATGTTCGGCATGGGTTTGCCTGCTCCCCTATCAGATATAAGGCAATACTCTAAGATTGGTCTGCAACCACTTCTGGTCTAAGATTAAGGACTGAAGTGGTCAAGTTTGTCTTCACCAACTGGTGAAATATCTAACTGCCTGTTAAAGGATGAGTATACTATGCTATAGTCCATTCTGTTTTGTTATACAGCTGTGAGCCATACCAGTTTAAAGTATGAGAAGTGAAGTGGTTACAGGGTTTTGATCCTTGGTGAAATCATCATGTGAGTAGTGTTTAAGTCGGGCGAAGGGTGCCAGTTAAGACGGGCCTGCAAGTCTGACTGATGAGGTTGTGAACAGTTGAGATGAGTTGGATATGTACTGTACATACGGGTCACCCCCTACCTTGGTGTACTATGCTGAGCGACGTAAGGTTAGATTGGATAAAGGTTCAGGGGGATCAGACTTAGATTCGATATCATTCCATGAAGTCGTTAACTGTTGATGTTGGAAATGTAAATTAGCAGGTTGGGGTCCCCCCGAGGATTGTTGGCAAAATGTCTGGAAACTAGTCACTCTTTGATATCTTCTGAAGATTGACTAGCCTTAAAATACTTCAATCCTCATCTTAACGAGGCTATACCGAATCTCACCATTTTCTCATTCTCCCTTTCTCTCTTTTAGTACTTTATATTTCTTTCGACTGAATTCTCTTATCTTCATCTTGCACCTCACTGCCCCTTTTTACTTGATGTAGTGATATGAGGTGTGGCAACTCGGACCATTAAGCAGTAATCCCTGGTCCTATGTTGATAGTAATGATGATGATGACACCAAGCTCGACTCCTCTGCTGGCTATTATGAATTAATAATATATAATCATCTTTATACCATCTAACCATGTTCTATTTATAATCTGTATTCTATTTATTATTAAGAGTGATCAACAACGTAATAATGAATCAATCTCTGAAGGACTTACTCCGTCTACTCCTACTCCTACTACAACAATCAGTGGTACTTATTTACGAACCTCAAAGGCAAGTTCATCAGCACTCAGTAATGTTGATGATGTTCAATCAATCGGTGTACGCTCCAATTCTTCATGGTCAACAGTACAAAGTCATCAAAACATTAAATCGACTTCATCACCTCCTTTATCTTCATTATCTAGTCAAAATATCTCTAAATCATCAATTGGAACTCGTTCTTCATCGAAACGTTTTGCAAATTTTTACACTGTAAGTATTAGATTAATTTTATTATTATTGTTACACATCACATATCAGCACAACAACTACTTTGGCATTGTGATGGTTCTCAGTTTGCATATCATTATTACCCGATAATTTATGTTGACTAGAATACAGCTTCCCTGCTGATAGATATGAATGGGAATGTGATGGGAGTAAGGTGTGATCAACAGTGTCATACTTGACGCTACGTTTTCAACACAAAGAAGTGGGTCAAATAGTACTGGGTTGGAAGAATAACACTCTCTTTCCTCAGTGATGCTTTTGAAGTGAAGTGAAGTGAAGACAGGAGTAAGACAAGGCTGATGCCTACCATCACCCGTGATATTCCTGATTGTGGTGGAATGGATCATGCATCAAACCGGAAGGAGCGAGAAGAGGGGGATACGCTGGCTGGACAGGGGAAAAGATCCTAGAAGATTTGGATTTCGCCGATGACTTGTGTTTAATGTCACACAAACTCGAAGATCTACAGGCGAAATCAACAAGTTGACAGAAGAGGTGAGGCAGCGAAGACAGGACTTCAAGTGAGTGTAGAGGAGACAGAGGTGATGAAGATACCCAACTGACGCCACCACAAACAACAACAAGCTCTAATGACCATCAACGGGAGAAACTTAAAGGAAGTAGCCTCTTCCACTTACCTATCTAGGCAGGACTGTTTCAACTACAGGCGGCACAGGCACAGACAAGGACGTCAAAGTTAGCCAGGATTGGAAAAGCGAGATAGGCGTTCATTAACGTGAAACCAGTGTGGAGATGTTCCGCACTCAGAGTAAAGAACAAGATAGGGATTTTCAACACCACTGTCAAGTCGGTGCTGCTATATGGTTCAGAAAGTTGGCGTGTAACGAAAGACATTTCCAACAAACTACACACATTCATCAACAACTGCCGCCTACGCTGGCTCGTTACTGAAGCTCAGATGGCCAGAATAATAAGAATAAGCAACAAGGAACTGTGGCTGCCTGGCTGGCAACGAACCAACCAACAACCTATTGCTCAACAAATATGCAGAAGGAAGTGGAGATGGATTGGATTGGGCATACACTGAGAAGGCCGAATGGGGACATCATGCGCCAGGCCAGGTTGTCGAGTGGAATCCAGATGAGAAACGACGAGTTGGGCGTCCCAGCTGAGGGTGACATGGAGGAGATGGTGTGAGGAAGAAATGAGAGCTTGTGGGCTGTAGTGGAGCCAGACTGAAAAGTTTGCAGAGAAGAGAGTGGAATGGAGACGTGCTAGTGAAGCCCTATGTTCCACTAGGAACCCACAGGACAAATAATAATAATATTGATAACACTCTCTTCTATACCCCATGATCTTCGAGTCTAGACGAAAAGAGACATATAAAGTCGATGTACAACTTCATACACGGATGGATTCCTTCAACTCGCCACACACGTCATAGTAGTTCGCAGAGAAATAGGTGGATAGAAAAGCGGTGAGAAAATAAACAATCCGTAAATGAAGCATAGTATAACTATTCAAACTTTAGACAACTTAAAGGAATGAGTGAATAACATCTGCGTTACTGCTAATGAAAAAGAGAATCTTGAGAATTTGTATTATGTCGTATAAAAGTAAATTATTCTTCGTTCTGTAATTGGCATCAACATGACAACGAAAATGCTTGTCGATACCACTTACTCTGATGAAATCGTTTTCTCTCTCTGTGTGTTAGAAGTATGTGATGGTGTACGTTTCCTTTCATGTAATATTTTTTTAATTATCATGGAATTTAGTTTTGAAGTTGTATTTGTGTTTGTTTGTTTGTTTGTTGGTGACGTGAATGACAACCGAACTTCCGCAGAAGTTAGTCTGTATGCGCGTGAAGAGTGGAGAGTGTTTCTCACCACCTGCTAAATACAAATTGATTTGCATTGATATCCCGTCGAAAAAGAGAAAGTGAACTGATTGATTGCGTTCTGATGCGATTTGATTGACTCAATACATGACGACTTCTCATAAGCACTTGACGAAATCCATTTCGAAGCAAATAATTGAACGGGTGATGAACAGTAGTCTGTTATCAGCACGTAGGTACACTTTGTTGCGAACTACCAAATGTGAAGAAAACAGCCAGCGGGTTTTCGATGGCCTTCCAACTGATGAATACTGCTTTCAAATCAATGAAATTCGCAAAAACTTCAGTTGAAGTATTACTGCCCGATGCATATTGGTAACTGAAAATAGACAGGCTTTAGACCCGGCCATGAGTGTATGGACCAAATATTCACACTACACCAGGTTCTGGAACACAGACACGCTTACCGATGCCTGAAAATAGCTGTATTTCTCAACCTGAAGGCGGCAGCATTCCACTCCTTTGATCGAGAAGTCTTATGGAAATGCCTCTCACTGAAAGGCGTGCAGAGTAACTATATCACCTTATTGAAGGCTCTCTACTCGAACTCGTGTGGGTGGTGAGATGTCCAGGGAGTTATGCTCATTGAGTGGTATCCATCAAGTGTGCACTCTCCACTCTTATTCAATGGAGGTCTCCCTCTCATCACCTGACTACACAGAGGTTGACCTAATCGGTGGAGAATTTTCGTTAGACCTAGAATATGCAGATGACATAGTCTGCTTACGTGAAGACGCTGACAAGACGTAGAGTCTTCTGGACACTTTGAATGGGAATTTGAGAATGTTCGGAATGCGGTTCTCACCACCGAAATGCAAATGGTTGCTGCAGGATTGGTCTTCAATGGTGCCTCAGCTAACAATAGAGAGTGAGCGTGGTGGTTGAGTGTGTTGACCACGTCACTTACCTGGGAAGTGAAGTGGGATCAGCCGTGCCCCTTGGCTCAATGTCCGATGAAATCTCTGCACGAATACAAAACGCTTGGTTGGCTTTTGCCAAGTTACACCACCTATGGCTCCGCCACCATATTCAATTGTCTATTAAGGGACACATGTTCTACTGTTCTATTGTATGGCTGTGAAACATGGCCATTGAAGGTGGAAGACATGAGAAGGCTTCAGCTATTTGACCACTGTCGCCTTCGTAGTATATGCCGTATTCTGTGCTATCACCAGGTGAGTAACGTGGACGTGGACGTCAACGGGCGTAGAGTTTTAGAGCAGGATGGAGAAGACGTAAGTCAGTCGACGTGGTTGTGAAGCTTCATCGGTTGAGAGAACTGGCTGGCTGGCTGGCTGGCTGGCTGGCTGGCTGGGACATGTGTAACGTATGCCTAGTTGCCGTCTGACTGACTGGTCACTCACTTAATGTTGACCGAAGTAGGTTCAGGTTGAAGAAAGGTGACGGAGGGGGGTGTGTGGGCAGACTAAAGCATGGCATCAATGTATGAAGCGTTTGTTTGTTAGTCTGAGCCATGTGAGGCAATGGAGACTGGGTGATTGGGGTCCGCAGGACAGGAGACTAGTTGATATGACTGCGAAGTGATGTCAATGTCACAGATGTATCCCCACACACATTATCCTCATCTTAACGAGGCTATACCGAATCTCACCATTTTCTCATTCTTCGTTTTGACTGAATTTTTTTATCTTCATGTTTCACCTCATTACCTTTCTACTTGGTCCACTAATATGAGCCATGGCAACTCGGACTGTTACGCAGTGATGCCTGGTCCTATATTGATTTAGTTGGATGGATGGACTTGACGAATTTACTGAAGTTATTTGGAACCCTAATAACATGTGTAGTCAACTAAGTCGTGAGTAATGTCTGACTATCTAGTAAAGGAAGTAGTTCATTGCGCTACATTTCGTTCTGTCTTGTTATATGGCTGTAAGACATGGCGGCTGAAAGTAGATAATATGACGCAATTATAGATTTTTCATCATAAATATCTCTGTAGTAATGATTCCGTTTGATAGTCAGATGAAGGATACTAGGCAAGGCAAACAAGTGAATTGATTCAGCTGTGAATCTTTATCGGTTGAAATGGCTTGAACATGTGTTGTATATGCCCAGCAATCACCGCTGGGGAGGGGGGGGGCGGGAGCACCTTAAGATAATGTGCATCAAAGGTTGAAGATTCTTCATGGAGCTTGGTTTTTATGATTTTTGAATTTCCTCTACCGATACATCATCATCAATATCAACATAGGACTAGGCATTAATTGCGTAACGGTCCGAGTTGCCATACTTTATATCGGTACAAGTAAAAAAAGGCAGTGAGGCGAAAGATGAAGATAAGAAAATTCAATCAAAAGAAATATAAAGTACTAAAAGAGAGAAAATGGTGAGATTCGCTATAGCCTCATTAAGATGAGGATAATGTGTGTGGGGATAGATCTGCGCCACTGACATCGCTTCTCAGCCATATCACCTAGAGTCAGTCTCCAGCCACCAAGTCTGCGTCGCCGCTCCCCCTACATTAGCTCAAACTAACAGTCAGAGACTTCATGCACTGATGCCATGTTTTAGTCTGGCCACCTTGGGCCTTTTTCCAGCCTGAACCTACTTCAGCCAACATTGTGTGACGAGGCAGACAGCAACTAGGCATATGTAGTACGTGTCCCAGCCAACCATCTCAGTCGAGGAATGTTGATAACCTCGTCAACTGACTTACCTCTTCTCCTTAAAAACCTACTCCTGACTTCAGCATTACTCAAGTGGTGACACCACGGAATACGGCCTATACACTACGAAGGCAAGGATGGTCAAACATCTAAAGCCTTCTCATGTATTCCATCTTCAATGACCATGTTTCACAGCCATACAGTAGAACACAGGCGGACTGCTGTGCAGTACACGCAACCCTTACTAGACAATTGGACATCATAACGGCGCCATAGGTGCCTTAAATTGGTAAAAGCCACCCAAGCTTTTTGTATCGGCGCAGAGATTTTATCTACATGCCTGTTCCTCTGTGTTTTCAATTCTTGTGATTCGAACCCTTAATAAGTTCTGTTTTGAGGCTAATCAAACTATAAAAATCTCCCCTCTAATTCTTTACCAGTTAACATTTATGACTTACTTCTGGCTTGTTAATATATAAACTGGCAAGTAA